CAGATGCTGCGCGGTGTTAGGGTGGACGCCCGCGTGGCGCTTGGCGAAGCTTGACGGGAGCGGCGGCGGCGCCGTCCGCTGCGCGTGGGCTACCGATGCATGGCGTCGTCGTCGGTTGATGGCGCTCTGGGTGAGAGGAGTACCATGTCGTATTTCGTGCCCTAGAGACATGAATTCTAGGCTCCCGAACAGACGATCATCCCAAGACATAGCGATCGCACGGGATCGCCATCCGAATCTGGTGGGATGACTAAGGCCGACACGCGAGAGGCCCCTACTGGCGCGCCAGCCGTCGGCCTTCGGGCTGGGGTCCTTAACCGACTAGTGAATTTGTGCTGCGTGCTCCCAATTCCGGATGGTGATGTAAAGAGACATAAGGTTTATCTTGGTTCGGCAATGGATGCCCTACGTCGATCCGAGAAGATGTTCTTGTATTTCTTGCACGGGATGCTCGTAGTAGGGGGTTACAAAAGTGGGGAGAGAGGGAGTTCGTCCCGGATCTCGTGAGGGAGGTGATATGAATTCTGAGAATGAGGCGTGTTGTTCGTGCGAGTATTCGTGACTCTATCCGCCGCCCTTAGAAAGCGATCTGGCTGCCTCCTTTTATAGCCATGAGGAGGAAACCAGAGGAGTACATAAGAGAGCTACACGTGGAGCAAGGACTATTCGATGACGTATTTACTCACGGATGGCATGGCATTGTCGTGGGAGTTCCGTAGATGTCTAATCGGTATGGTCTCAATCGCAAGTAACATCTTTGCGCATTTGTTGACTTGGTGGATTCGCAGAGGCTCGGCGGCCATCGTAGCCGGTCGTCTTTGAGGCCTATCGTCGTGCCGGAGGCTGTTGTGCCGAGGAACTGCCGTGCCGAGGCACGAGAAGTGACCTAGAGTGCGCGATCATGGGTCTCGGCGACCATCGAGCGGAATAGTGCGCGAGACGACGCCTACTGAGGATCTGAGTACTGTATTATCGATAAGGGATGTTAAAAAGGTGATCGACCGTTGTCCTGTCGCTCCTATTGTAGCATCTTGCCGATCATGGCTTACGTAAGCGGAGTGCGATTGAGCGCATTAATCGGATGCGACGACTGCCGAGAGAGACCTTTGAGGCGAGGCGGCGACGAGGTTCTTGGGGCGAGCCCGGCCTCGGCGAGGGGGCGTGGCCAATTCGTCGAGGCCCTACCGGGGGTCTCGAGGCGGCGGACGGCGGCGGCGGAGTAAGATCGGTGAATCGAGGCCCTATCGAGGGGGCTCGGGCGAGACGGAGTGGTCGGTCCGCTGATTCCGAGGCTACAGAACCCGTTCGACTCCCCACGTTGCGATGTCCTTAGTGCGGGAGTTAAGCGGTGACGGTGGTGGTAACCCCCGCTCTGTGCCGTCGCAGATGGCAGGAGGTTGACGCGACTGGCGTGTAGTCGGTCACTTCGCTGTACTGTGCTGTTGTGCGTCTGTCGGAGTGGTTGGGTGCTTGGATGCGACGTTCGGTCAGAGCAGTTTGGTCGAAGAGGCGGTCACGGGGCTGGTGCCGAGCCGGCCTCGCGCGAATCAGAGAATCGGCACTTCTTTCGCTGGGGCTCGGCGACGGGGTCTCGGGCGAATCAGAGATTTCGGCCGAGACCTCGTTTGTTTATTCCGTTGGTTCTGTTTTTAGGGTCTAAGCAGTTTTTCGATCTTTGCTTGGGGTACCCCATTTTCTGGTACCCGACACATCTGTTTTTTTACTGAAAAACGGCTCCTCCGGAAAAATATTTGACAATACTCCTCTACATGAGCCAGAGCCAAAGCCGGAGAGAAACCCTGCCAAACAACCTAACGATCGGGGCAACAGCAACGCGCAGTCCATTGGACTGGCGCCAAGAAAAGAATGGTACTGGTACTAGTGCAATGTGGGGTGAAGCCGTGAAGGGTGAAGTGACACGGAAGCTGGGTGTAGCGCGTAACCACGCAAGGCAAAGGGGAAAAACGCCAAGCAAAGAGGCCAGTTTGTGTAGTCTTGAGTCTTCGGCAGTTGGCTGCTGCCTGGTCCCCAACCTGGTGTCGTCTTGGTCTTGCATTGCTGGCAATTGCTGGTGGTTGGAGTTTCGACCTCAGTGTCTTCCAAATAAAAAGAGGGCTCAGTTCTAAAAAGACTGTACTTTTAGATCGACCTATTTAAATTTTGACTAAGTTTATAAAAAAATAATGTCAACCCCTACATATGATTCTAAATGCGTACACAATAAATATGTATTCTAAGATGAACCTACTTAATGATAATTATTCGATGATATCACACATATAGATAATTTTCTGTAAACATGCAATCAAATTGAAGAACTATTTGACTACACTGTATGTGTCGGGCAAGCCCAGTGAGCCCGCCACGGCCCTGCGCCACCACACGAGCCATCTAAGGTCGTGTCCACGTGTTATCGCCCGAGATGGTCTTGGGTCCACACCTCTGCGTTGTTGGGCTGCTGTCAGTGTCTCTAATAGAGATGGGATGGGAAGAAAGGGCCGCGAAGAGGAAAGGAAGAAGAGGGAATTGAAGTTGAGGATGGAGGGGAGCAGGCGGTGGAACAGATAGTGGATGGAGTCAATGGCTTTAGTGAAAATAAAGGCACTTTTATATATGGGGTGGACATGGCATAGATGAGCTTTTAGTATACCTCCTAGTGATCGGTCTGGGCCAGGGGGCCGACCCATACATGACCCGAGCAAAAGGTGGCCTAAGCATGTAAGGTGTCGAGCCGACCAATATGTACTGGACTGGACCAGAACACCGGGTCGTGGACTAACCCGTGGACCTTGGGCTGTCTGACCATCTATACCTGACACTCTGACAGTACCAATAGGATAATGAGTCCCCGTTTGGTAGCTTCTCAAGCAATTTCAGGGGTTGTTTTGTACCAAATAGGTATTTTGTCAAGCAACTTCACAAACATGCTCTCAAAAACAGATTGGTGTGGGTTGAAGCCGAGAATAGTTGCTTCTCCTAGCTTCAACTTGGTTCGGTGGGCCCCTGCTGGATTTGCGAGAGCATGTTTCAAAAGAGATTCACATGTAGACCTGTTTTTGCCAAATGGTTCACCAAAACAACTTCAACTCCACCGATAAAAGCTGCTCGTGGAGCTAAAGTAAAAAAAAAACTGCATTGGTCCCCTTTGGAACATAGGATACAGAAAACACATGAATTGAGGCGACATGTTTATCCTATCCAACCATGTAGTAATAAAAAACACAGGAATTGAGATTAGATGGTCTTTGGTAGCACTATAGGAAAAAAAAAGAGGATTATGATTATCTCGACTTTTGATTTTGGATGACTTGCTTGCATAATGGTCAGCTTTCCCACCAAACGCAACACACAAGGGCAGCACAGATGGGAGAGCCAACAGCCCGTGCGCGAGGAGTCAGCTTTCCTGCAAGAAAATTTTTCCAAGAGGTCTGACGTGACTGACGTGTTGCTTGGCTTACTTTCCTATGAAATATTATGCCCTGTCAACTAAAAAGATGTGTGTAGCAAAAATTTCTTAGGAATCTGAATCATTTATTATAACTCCTTTGCCAACAATCCTTGTTTAAGGGGGCATTTACTATTAGTACTCCTTCTGTTTTAAGTTATAGGTTGCTTTGACTTTTTTTTATATCTGTTTTAATATGCATTTAGATATAATTGATAATAGCAAAAAGGATGAATAAAAAAAGTCAAAGCGATTTATAATTTGAAGCAGAGGAGAGAGTAAATAAAAGGGAAGTCGTGTCAAACAAGTTGCGAATGTGCATCTCTCTCCGCTCGATCTCGCAGTTGTCCTAAAGAAAACCGCGTAGAAAAACCGCGTAGGAGGGAGTAAATAAACGGGTCGTCGTCGTCCTTGCGCACGCAGTCAGTCTCCTCTCCTCTCTTCTACTGAAAAAAAAAACCGCGTGATTCGCTCACATGCGGTGCGGACATGCATGCCTCGCTGGGTTTGGTTTGGTGGCCATTTTCGATCGTAGAAAACTACGACAGTAGAAAAGAAGAAATGGCATGGGCATGTGCATGTGCGTATACGGTAGTAAAGTATAGTACACCCGAGGTAGACGACGTGATACGGATCGGTTGAGGTCTTGTCTTGAGGTCCTGCCTTGCTCTTTTCTCTCGTCTACTCCTACAAGCCAAACCAAAGGAAGCTAGCAGTATTGGTACTACTCTCCTCGTAAAAGAATGCAATTCTAACATAGTCTCACGTTTTAGTATATTAAGTTTGACCAATTATAGATAAAAAATATCCATGTTTATGATACCAAATAAATATAATTAGATTAATCATAAAATATATTTTTATAATAAATTAATTTAAAGATATAATTGTGAAACCACTTTTTTTAGCACCTCGCAACCCATGGTTGTATTTTTTTCCGGACAGGTAGGACTAGAGTATCACTGCAACAGCACACAGCAGCGGAGGAGTAGATGACACGGAGACGGGAGGGGAGCGAGGGTGGTACATGTACAGACGCGCTACGCGGCTTCCTCCTCTCTCTTTCTTCCTTGTTTGGCAAACTAGCCGTCTGCTCCTACTACCCCCGAATGGTCAGGTCAAGTCGTCGCCATTGCAACGGAGCGGACCCATCACGCTCTCATGCACATCAATCACCTCGCCGGCCCGGCATCCGTAGTCCATGTCCGTCCAGTGCCCAGCCCGGCCCGTAGGCGCCGTTGACTGACCAAGCACACACGGTCACGGTCTCCGCTCCCACGACGCGGCCGCTTGCGCGCGAGAACGCCGAATCTTCCTCGGGACGGAGCCCACTCGCCATCCAGCTCGCCTCCCGTCGCCGTCCGGCCGCCCTCCTCCCTCTCTATAAAACAGACCACACGACACGGCCATCGCTGTCCCGCACCGCCGCACCACTACACTCGCGAGCTCTCCATCTCTTCCTCTCTCTCTCTCACACACACACACTCGTTCACAGCACGCGCACGCTAGCCACAGCCAGAGCCCGCAACCCAGGCCGACGCCGATCCCGACCGCGATGGGCAAGAAGAGCGGCCGCAGCAACAACGGCGGGGACGCCGCCGACGCGCCCAAGGCGACGGCGTTCGTGCTGAAGGTGCCGATGCACTGCCGCTGCGACGGGTGCGGCGACAAGATCCGCGCCGCGGTCAAGGACCTGACGGTCCGGTGCGACGGCATCGTGTCGCTGGACAAGTCGGCGCTGGGCACCAAGGGCGAGCTGTCGGTCATCGCCACGGCGGACCCGGAGAGGCTCCGCCGCCGCCTGCGCAAGGCCACCGGCAAGGACGTCGGCCTTGTCTTCCCCAAGCCCGCCGCCCGCCGCCGCCCGCGGCTGCCGGCAACAAGGCCGCCGCCGCCGTGCAGGCGCTGCTCGCCGACCTGCAGCAGCAGCAGCGGTGCACGCCACCACGGGCACCCGCTGCCCGCCGGCACTGGGAACGCGCTCCAGCACGGCGGTGCGGGCGGCGGCGTACCGTGGGTGCTGCAGCATCAGCAGGCGCCCGCCGAGCCGTGCCGCCTCCCTACCCGCCCGCGGCCTCCTGGGCAGCGTCGCCCCGCACGACGGCCTTGGTGGGGCCCTACGGCGGCGGCGGTGTAGTTTGGTCTTGCATCGACCGACCGACCGCGCTGGGCGGAGGACCCATCTTCTTGGATGAGAGCCGGACGGCGGGGTATAGTTTTCAAATGGCACTAACACTGTGGTGGGCCGCACGGCACGGCACTAAAAAGCACGGCCCAGCCCGCCCGCCCGGCTCGCTTGCCGTGCGTGTGCACCGCGGCGCCCCAACAATGCCGTGCAGGCGCCACCTCGGCCCGCTCTTTAGCCCGGCGCATGCAGCACGGCAAGCAGGCCGCACGGCCTTGGCACGGCTCCAGCAAAGGATATAAGCGGCGCCCCCCCCGCCCGTGTCGACGAAACCCTAGCTCATTTGTTTCCAGCTCCTCTCTCTCGCATCTCTCGCTCTAACCTCTGCGAGCGGCTCTCCTCTCTTCGTCTCCCTCTCCGGTGGTGTCTCCTCTCTTCTTCTCGCCCCCGGTGGCATCTAGAGCCACTGCTGGCCGGCACGGGCACACGGCACGGCTCCGTCTTGATCTCGCTCCGTTGATGTAGCCTTGTCGTCCACCTCGTCGTTTCCCCCACGCGGCCACGCCGCCCCGTATCGACGAAACCCTAGCTCATTTGTTTCAGCTCCCTCTCTCTCTGTCTCTCGCTCTAACCTCTGCGGCGGCTCTCTCCTCTCTTCGTCTCCTCTCTCGGTGGTGTCTCCTCTCTTCTTCTCGCCCTCCGGTGGCATCCTTGTCGTCCACCTCGTCGTTTCATTCGTCACCGTAAATGCCGACCTCGCCGGGCCCCCGGCAACTCTGAGTGCTCGGATGTCGGTAAGTTGAGCTTTGCTCCCCTCGAGATCTGGCTCTTCCTCTCTTATCCCCTCCGGATCTCGATCCGATGTGCTCCCGTCCTGTGTAGGTCCCTCTTGATTCGCATCCGTCGAGGAACAGAGGGCCGGATCAGCGTCGTCGACGTCGCCATTGGCGTTCCCGGTGCTCCGGCCGCCAAGGTACTGTAAACCCTAACCCTAACCCTAACCCTAACCCTAACCCTAACTAGATCTGCTACTGATTCTTTGTTTATGTGTGAAGCCGTTGAGGAACCGGTGGCGTGAGTGACGCGATGGCCCGCTCCTCCGACGAGACCGTTGAGGTCAGCGCCAACGATGAGAGGCGGATGTGCGGGCTAGCCGGAGATGACGACGAGGATGACTCACTGGTGAGGACTGCATGGAGCTGTTCGGCCGTCGCGTTGAGGATCCATTGTAGGTGATGGCGGCGGCAATGATGCAATAGGGGGGAAGAAGAAGAAGGAGAGGATGACAACGACGACAAGCGCTCACGTCCTTCTACCTCTATTTGTGTGGCTCGATTTTAAGAAGTTGTTCAAAAAGGTCCCAAAGGTAAGAAGGTAAGGTATGCCGCTTTCATTGCATCCTTCGCAATAAGCAAGACTCTGCTCTCTCTAGTGGTGGCACTTTGGTCACCTCACTCGTCATAGGGACAAATGTGTTAAGAGGAATGAGAAAACTCGCATGACTCGGCCTCGAGATATCTTTTAATCTCGATGGTAGTATGCGTTCTGGGAGAATCTTGTCCTATTGTTGCTCGTGACTTTGAATCTGGTTCGATTGCTTTGTAGACTTGATGTGCCTATCTGTATGGGTGAAACTGATGCTTTTTATGATTATATTAGAAATGCTCATAATCCAAAGTTTGTTCCTGTCTCTAGACAAACCACCACCAGAGACATAGTCAAATACTTCAGCGATAAAAAGACTAAGCTTGTTGAGACTCTTAGTTCATCGCTATAAATTGTGTTTGTCTTACCTCGACATTTGGTGCGGTAATGCCAAAGAGGACTATCTTAGTGTGGTTGCTCATTACATAAATCCCGATTGGCAACTAGAGAAGAGGGTGCTTGGTCTTGTGCTTATTGATGTGTCCCATAGTGGACAAAACATTTTTGAAAGGGTTATATCGTGGTGCTTCGATTATGGTTTGTTGAAAAGGTCTTTCTTTGTTACTTTGGACAATGCCTCATCTAATGTTTTACGCCATGCGTACACTTAGGCCCTGTACTATCTAAATATCTTGGTATTGAAGTACCCCGATAATGATAGAAATGATAGAAATGAAACCGATAATGCAGTTAGTACTTTGTTTATGCATCGGCGTTGTGCGTGTCATATCATAAATCTCATTGTTAAGGAGGCCCTTAATGCTCTTCACCTTTGATTGAAACATTTAGAACTGCAATATCATTTACGAACTCATCTAACCGGAGAATTGCTGCATACATAAAAGTTTATTGTATTGCCCACCGGTGTTAGACCTAGGAAATTTCAAATTTGGACATGGAGGTAAGGTGGAATTCTACATATCTCGATGCTCAAGCATTTGTTTCCTCACCGAGACTCCTTTCACTACTTTCATGCATGCTCACTATCCTAGGGGTGAAGGTGGTCATTGCTTTTAAGCTGATGAACATTGGAACATTGTACAAAAAGTATTTAAATTTCTTGAACTGTTTTATGATGCTACTGTTGCTTTGCCTGGTGTGTACTATCCTACATCTCCACTTATGATTCATTATCTAGTTAAGATTGCTATACACCTAAAAAACTATGGTAATGACACTCACCTCAGACATGTGATTCAAACAATGATAGACAAATATAATAAATACTGGAGGGATATTCCTTTGCTATATTCTTTTGCATTCATCTTGGATCCTAGAGCTAAAATGAAAGGTTTCAGCAGAGTACTGAGGAGGTTGGGTAGCCTTACCAGTACATCCTATGAAACTTACCAGCTTGCCACTAGAGCTCGACTAGCTGATGTTTACAATAAGTATGAGGAGAAATTTGGATCTGTTAGGTTGAGGAGGACGTCCCTCCTAACCTGTCTGATAAGAAAAGGTCTGCTTGGGATGAGATTTATGATGATGATGAAGGTGATTGTTCTGCAGGTGGTATCCATCCTCTATCTGGTACTCTTAATCTGTCTAGACATACCTCTACAACTGCCCTGCTGCATGCTGCAAGTTCTTCTAATAATAATACTTCTGAACTGGTTTCCTACTTTGACTGTGACACTATTAGCCAGTTAGATGATGATTTTAACCTGTTGAACTGGTGGCATGAGCACAAACTCACTTATCCAGTTCTGTCAATCATGGCTAAAGATATTTTAAGCATTTCTGTTTCTACCATATCTTCCGAGTCCACTTTTAGTATGTGGCGGGGATAATCGAGGAGCGCGGAGGAGGTCAAGGCTGAGATGGTGGAGATGCTCACTGCATCAAAGGCGGGAGGCGGTGAGGCAAGGATGCAAGCACAATGTGGAAGACCGGGAGCTTGAAGAAGCATTTGAAGAACTTTATCTTGATTAGTTGTCTTAGTTATCATTTATGTGCTTTGGATCTGTAATATCTTTGGACTTATGAACTTTGATTTAAGGACAATGAACTTAAAAGGAGCTAGTCTGTACTTTTTTTTCCCCTGTCTAGGGTTTCTCACAAGGGTGAGTTTTACCTAGATGGGGTTTTAATGAATGACCATTGCACTAAAGCTCCAATAAAATTTTATTTTGTTCTCTCCGGTCTGCATTTTACGTGTTTGTTATCTTCTGAAGTTTGGTTAAAGTTTGAACTTGTATCTCTCTTTGTCAAAGTGTGATCTTCTAAAATTTGATGTATTGTACAAGTTTCGTTAAAATTCTGAAGTTTCGAGGTGTTTGACACTTTTAGTGTTAGTGCTTAAAGCACGAGCACCACGGGCTGCCGTGCCCAGTGGCACGGCACGGCACGCCTAAGCCATGATAGTGCCGTGTTCGGGCCATCGAAGTCGGCAGACGCGCACTATCGTCAGCACGGCACGGCTAACATGCCGCGTCGCTGTAGTGCGCGATGCTGGCCGGGCGTGCTGTCGTGCGTTGCGATGATGCTGCGTCTCGGCGGCCCGCGTTTGGCCCATATAGGCGGGGCGAAGCAGAGCAGAGCAGTGATGGAGCTTTGACGTTGTAGGGAAGTAGTAGTGCTCGTGTAATACGTTGTGTGAATAATGTGTGTCGGTGGTGTTGCGATAGTACTTATACTAGGATTAGTAGTAAGTACTTGTTAGCAAGAAGCTGATCTTTATCGATGAGATCGGTGATCACCGATTTCTCTTTGTTGCTACTTTCAGTTTCGGTAATGGTTGTGGTTGCATTTTGTGTGTTTTGTTGGACGATGTCACGATGATGAGTTCATTTTGTTAGAGCTGGACTCTCATCTCATGCATGCTGCTCTGTAACCGTAACTGCAATGTTTTGCACAACTCAAGTGTCAAGAGGAATGGAGTAACTCCCTCCCTCTGTTCTGTTGTTATATAAATATAAGCTCTGTCATATTCTTTGACCATCCATTTTCAGCAGATCCTTATAGTTTCATAAAATGTACTGTAGATTAGATAAAACACGGATGTATGTATCTCTCTCTTTATTTTGAAACCCATGATCGAAGATACTATACCGTAGGTTTGGTAAAACCAAAACGGACATCCTAGGAGTTCATTTTGTGCCGTATAAGATAGTAGGTAGCGTGCCTGTGTGTTGCTACGGGACATCTAAACTTTTGTACTAAAAACACGTGGATCGCACGATAAAATAACAACACTGTGAAATTAAATATCGGCGTTAAAGTGATATTTAATCCAAAAAGCAAAGTTTATAAAATTAACATAGTCATGGAGAGTGTAGCGTCACAGGCTCACCAACTCTACTGTATAGACCTTTCGTAATGCGGCTAAGATAATATTTTATATTGGCAGGAAGAAATCTTCGATATCCCATTCTTTCATGCACCAATAAATTCATGAACAAGTGTTGTTAAGGTGAATTTGGTGAGCTTTAGGCTTACTGGTCCTTGATTGAGAATTGCATTTACTGAAATACATCCATTCTTTTCTTTATCAGCTTATCAGGACAATTTTCTTACTTTGAGTGTTATGTCGTTCATAAAACTAATAAATGGGTGGAGGGCTGTACGAAAAAATGAAATGTATCCTA